ACTTGTACAGCAACCATAAGTACTAATAGCTCGACTAATAGTAATGGATTATGTATATATGTATATATTCAGTAATTGACTACTGGATAATGTTTATATACATGTAAGCCTACTAGATACTAACCAGTACTCCATCAACTTCGTGATTTAAAAAACCATGATCCACTGAGCTGCCTTTCTTGATGTTTCAGGCTTTCAGCCTCCTGAGCGAGCTCCTGAGTGAGCCTCCATAGCTCCTTGACACTGATCCCTCCCCCTTATTCATTAATCATTAATTAAGCTAAACTACTTATTATTCATAGTGTCTATCCCTATGGATAGTTTCCAGGAACAGTTACACCTAACTCCGGACAACTATCCAGGAACAATAGGATAACCGGGTGAACCCGGAGGCACGGAGGGTGTGGTCTGGCTACGCGAGACTAGTGTATGTCCTCGTACGTCACCCCTATTTATGCGTAGATCTAATACGGTAGATAGATACTATGCATTACCAATGCAATTTTCAATTTTTCATTGAAAGTGGGAGCGGTCACAGTAAAATAAAAATGGCAACCAACACACTGGAAGAATTCATGAGCTTTCTAGCAGCAATATAAGGCAGATACACCGTCCAAAGACTTCTCCAGCAGCTATAAAAGGTTTTTAATTCAATTAATAACCTATGAAGCTCGTCTTTATTGATGCAATTGCTATTAAAACTGTGAAAGTCAATCAAGCTTTTTCTTAGTCATGCAATTAATTGTCATGTTTTGTCTATTTTGACTAAAAACTTCTTTTCAGGCATAATGATGCCATTTATTGGTTTACAGGGCTTGAGAAGGAAATCAGCTACTTCTGACAAATTTTTCTTAACCACTGCATTTAACTTTCAACCTTGCTGTAGCACTAGCTAATAATTTTATTAAGCACATCATTGCTGTTTTTTGGACTTTTGATGTAAAACCTTGGAGTTTCCAGCTGAAAACCTTCAGTCCCACCCCCTTATTAAGTATGCAGAAAGTATGTTTAGCTGATTATCTCTGTAGTTGTTCATTCAAATTTAGTACTTTTATTTTTCAAAAAAAGTAAATTTGCATACCTACCTGCTGATACCAGACAACAATCGGAATTGCACTGCTAACAGACTTTAAAAAAATATTACCATTATCCAACTACAATGAGCCAATAGGTAAATTTCTCATCCCTGGATCAAATGAAGAACAACTTTGCCTAGACAGCTTTTGGCTTTTCTAGCATTGTGGCATCAGTTCATGGACTGCTATCGCATTATAGTATTAAAGAATAATTATTTTAGGTAACAAAAACAATTACAACATTATAAAAAGAACACAAAAATGCAAGTTTATGTACAGTGTCCTAATTTTGAAAGACAGCAAGCCTATAAACATGAAAAGAAATGTAAATAGGGAAAATGTATAATTGACCTCACTTGAATGCAAGACTCATTGATGACCTCAGTATCTCCTAAGCTTGATGCATCAAGAAAATGGTGACACTAAAGAGATAGAG